CAAATTAACCTACAGCTTCCTATTCCGAAATCTTCGCTTGTTCATAAATCAATACATTATAATGGTATAAAGGTGTTCAACCATCTCCCACAAGCAATTAAAATATCACCAACAATGAGATTATTTAGAAAAGGACTACGGGACCTACTTTCTGATAGAGCCTATTATGATTTGAACGAGTATTATCAAGACAGATTTTAGGCTATGATTTTAGGCAATGATTAGCATGTTTCTAACTTAGTATGTTTTGAATAACTGTGATAGAATGGGTTTCTTTTTTAATTTTATTATTTTGTTCGGTATTTGTACTTATTTAAACCTGAGTTTTAAACTTTATGTAATTGTAGTGTCTTTCTATTTAATAAGTAACTTATTCAGTCGTGGAGTTTATAGTTTTATGCAAGGAAATACTCAATAAGTTAGGTACCCATAGGTATATTTTTTATTATATTAATTTGTACATTTACCAAAGATTAATTTAGATTTAGATTTAATCTCGACTTTTAAAGTTTGTGTAAACTATGGTGTCTTTTTTTTGTCTTATTTAAAACTAATTTATCGGTAATATTAATGTGTAATTTTATTTGATCAGATGGTTATTCTTACCGTTTATTGTAACTGTCAGCAAAGCACAGTCTATTTTTTTTTTTAATATACTGTGCTTTAGCTAAATATTAGAGCTGTTAAATTTTCTTACTGTTTCTGACGGTTTTTAAATAGTTTTGTTAGTTGTTAAGTTTTGCTTTGTCCACAAAACAAATTGTAATGTTTTTATGACAATAAAGCACACTATCTATCTATCTATGCTTTAAATATTCTTAGAATATATCTACATATATCATTCTCAATATGCATCCTAGACATAACATTCTTGTTTGATTCTAAGGATATACTTGCTTGGAATGTTTATTTTCGCTTCCAAATAATGCTCGTTTCAGCCCTTTTATATTAAAGGCAGTGAAAGAGTTGTTGGAAAACTTCTCTATAAAACACGAGTATTTAACCAAAGCTCAGGTTTCGAGCTTGTTATGCTCTCGTCGAAGCACGCCAACTGAGAGAAACAGGTTCCAAGGTGATTCAAATGCGAGGCAAGATGTAGATCTTTAATAGCGCGTCGCTCCCTCTCTTGGAAGTCATACAAAGCAAAAGGAAAAGAATATACCTATAATATTCTTAGTAGGTTCTAAATAGAGTATTATTGTTTAATTGTACAATTAAGATTTTTGAGTAGGTACTTTAGATAATTAGGTGAACAATATGAAAATATTCTTAGCATGGTTACCTACCTACATAAACTTCTCAGCACAACTTGGTAGGTATATTCTTAATACTTGATAGAGATATTAGCTTAAAGAACATTTTTTAGGGTACATTATAATAATGTTCGTATGAGAATATTCAAATAATGTTATATAAAGTAGGTTCTTAGCACAATATTTCAGGTAGGTGCATAGAAGCAACATTCCTAGTACATAAATAGAACGTTCAAAAATGAATATTTCAATCGAAACAATCTTAGAATATTCATTAGGCAATTCAAACCACGTGACAATCAAGATGGCGTGGCGGCCACACATGAGCCAAAAAACACAAAAAAATATCTAGTTTCTGCCCGATTCAATACCTCAAGTACCTAGTCAACAAATTTTTTATTAAATAATCAAAATCAAAGTTGCAAACAAAACTCTGAGCAAAATAATTTAAAATACGCATAAAAACATAATCAAAACAAACTTGCTTGGCCGCCACGCCATATTGAATTTTCCATTTTGACAGATGGATTGAATTGCCTAATTGAACATTCCTAAAAGAACATTCCAAAAAGTACTTTGAGGGAATATTCTGAGAATATGAATGTTCTTTCACTGTTATATGTGGGTAGCTTTCATAAACCTAGCAATCCCTTAGTTTTTTTTTGATTTTCTCAAAAACAAGAGGAGCACCTAATTTTTAATTAGAGGCCCTAATTAGCACCTAAAAAGCACCTAATTAGATCCCGAAGTTTTTTTGCCATTCTGACTCACCAACAAGTAGACGTAAAGCCAGCAGTCCCCTAATAATTAAAAAAAATCTGTAACTCAGTTAATAATTAATCAATTTTATTTTTTCTTCGACTATTTAGGAGCACCTAAAAAGCACCTAATTCTGGTACAAAAGAAAATTTTGGAAAAATATTTTTCACTATAGGGGACTACTAGCTTTCATAAATTTAGCAATCCCTTAGTTTTTTTTTTGATTTTCCCAAAAACTAGAGGAGCACCTAATTTTTAATTAGAGGCTCTAATTAGCACCTAAAAAGCACCTAATTATTATATAGATCCCGAAGTTTTTTTTTCATTCTCATTCTGACAAACCAACATGTAAACGTAAAGCTAGCAGTCCCCTAATAATTAAAAAAAATCTGTAACTCAGGTAATAATTAATCAATTCTATTTTTTCTTGGACTATTTAGGAGCACCTAAAAAGCACTTAATTCTGATACAAAGAAAAAAATTGAAAAAATATTTTTTACTATAGGGAACTGCTAGCTTTTATAAACCTAGCAGTCCCTTAGTTTTTTTTGATTTTTTCAGAAACTAAAGGAGCACCTAATTTTTAATTAGAGGCCCTAATTAGCACCTAAGAAGCACCTAATTATTATATAGTTCCCGAAGTTTTTTTCCACCTTGGGACTGCTAGGTTTATAGACTTTCAAATTTTACCTGAATTTATCACCTCGTACTTATTTGAGTGCCTCAAACAAATAATGCAAAAAATTTATCAAAAATGCGAAATTCCCAAATATTTGTATCAGGAACTCTCTACCGGGTGTTTTACAAAAGTCGAAAATATTCTCATTTAGGTATGCAATATTCCTACGAAATTCCAATTTTGCTAAATAATTTTATCCCGTGTCCTTATTGAAAAACTCTCAAACTAAAAAACTGACTTTCATGAAAACAAATACCTACACTTCTGGATAGCCAATGATATTCTATACAAAATCCTTAAATTTAATCTCATCTCTCTCCCATTTATGCAACATTCCTAGGAAATTCCAACTTTACCCCACCTCAAGGGGAATTTCAGTTATTAGGGACATCCTATGTAAAGGTGAAATTTGGGAATCTAGGAAGAGCATGTCATTGTTTACCACTCCTACCAGTAATTTTATTTTGATTTTTCCAGTAGAAATAATAAGTATACCTACCTACGTGAACTGGAGAGAATGTTTTATAAAATAATGAAAATTTTGTCACATGTCCTCGAAAAAACCTTCAAATCCAAAAATTGAGTTTTTTTGAAAAATACACCTAACTGGACTATTGTATTAGAATCACAGAAACCTGAGGGGTAGAATTTTTCTAGCTAGATTTTATTTTCTCGTATTTCTGATTTAAAAAAAATGTCACATTTTTGAGTATATCAAGTTCACGACAAATAAATTCTCTTTATACTGACGTAGAACATAAGATTTGCTGATCAGAAAGCGGGAGGAGAACCTAATCCCAAATTTTGCATTGAAACTTTCTCCATTATTTGATAAATAGGTAAGTATTTCCCGTACTTCCTAGATTTTATTTAAAACTTCTTCGATCTTCCTCCGACTTTTTCAAATCCCCTTTATAATTTCTCATACTTCCTCAACTTTCCCAATACTTCCTTAGACTAATTCCGCAAACTTTCTTCACGGTCACTGCCTCTGCGCTTTCTTGGCCTTGGCTGCAAGTAACTTTGAAGCTAAATTTTCTCATAACTTAGTCATTAATCCGAATTACCAGTTTCCATGACCTTTTTGTGATTAACTTTTACTGCATCTTCTAGCTTTTTAGTTTATTCTGATTTCTAATGGATTTCATAAATATACTTGAATATATACAGGGTGGGCCAGCGAAAACGAAACAAAGTCGATATCTCGTATTTATTGTTTATTAAAAAAAATCGCTCGGACCCGTCGATTTTTATTCGGAGGGGGAAATCTTTTGCACATATTTTCAATGTTGTCACTTCAACCCAGTCGCGGGGGTAAGCTCCAACCCTTAAATCTTAAATGGCAGTAGGGGTCGAGCGATACCTCATTTCAAAGGTCATCAAATTCTCTTTTCAACGGTGCCTTTTTTTTTGAATTTGATGCAGTGGTTTTCGAGAAAACGCATTCAAAAATAGACGAAACTAGTACTGTTTTAGTCATTTTGAGCACTATCAATTTTGTAGTTATAACAATTTTTTCTTAAGAAGTGATTTTATGTGTTTTTTTTTTGAAGTCGTGTGCTATCCAACTCGAAATCACAAGGTTAAAGTCTAGTTTTTTTTCATGACTCAATAAAATTCAACTGAATACATTCTAATTTCAAATATCTTTTGAAAAAAAAACTCAGTAAATTTAAAAAAATAGGCACCGTTGGAAAGAGAATTCGATGGCCTTTGAAATGAGGTATCGCTTGACCCCTACTGCCATTTAAGATTTAAGGGTTGGAGCTTACCCCCGCGAGAGGGTTGTAGTGACAACATTGAAAATATGTGCAAAAGATTTCCCCCTCCGAATAAAAATCGACGGGTCCGAGCGATTTTTTTCAATGAACGATGAATACGAGATATCGACCTTGTTTCGTTTTCGCTGGCCCACCCTGTATACATATAAATATTTTAATCAAATTCGAAGCATCAATGCAATATTTAGTAACTTTTTCAAATATTTCGTGATGGATACCTAAAAACTATCCATATCAAGTGGATCTTCATTGAAAATGTTGGACTTTGGTAGGTAGGTACTTTTTGACTTTTAGAAACCCTCTAAAGCAAGCATAAGATAATTTTAGTTACAAACTTAGTAACAACTATTCTTTCTTTGTATTGCATTGAAACATCGTTACAATAATTTATATTACTTACATATTCCTTGCATAATTTAGAAATATTGTTTCCATAAAAGTTCACGAACTTCTATTGTATTAAAATGTTTCTAGACGCGGTATAATTTGAGCGGAATGCATTAATTATCTTTGCATACTAAATAAAGTATAAAAACTGACAAAAACTTTTTCGTTAGGGTCATTTTTTTGAACGCCAGTAATAGTGTGTGTTGTTTTTTTTTGGAAATAACCCTTTCATCATTTAAAGGTAGGTACCCAATACTATTAGCTACTATTTCATTGAATGAAAATAATATCCAAATTATTATAGATCCGTAAAAATGGCACCCCCAGAAATGGAATTGGTCAAAGAAGACGTTGTCATATCAGGAATCGGTGGTTACTTTCCCCAGTCGCTGAACATCGAAGAATTCCAGAAAAACCTCTTGGAAAACAAAAACTTGGTCGGCACTCGTTGGAGGCAAGGCGAACGAGGAGTCAGCAACAGCGTCGGCACAGTACCGACCGAATTTTTCGACAACTCCTATTTCGGCATCCATCGTCAGCAATGTACTTTCATGGACCCCATGCAAAGGCTCGTGCTGGAAAGGACTTTCGAGGCTTTGATCGATGCTGGAGTGAGTCCGACCGAAGTTAAAGGCAAACGAATTGGAGTTTTTATGGGTTCCTCGATTGGTGAAAACGATAACTTGTTTTTGGAGTCTATCGTGTCTGGATTCGGTGTTACTGGACATTCCAGAGCTATGATGCCTAACAGAGTTTCTTATTGGTTGAATTTGAAAGGTAATTTGGAAACTAAATAAGGAAATTTTTTCTTTTAGAATAAATAATGAAACAAATGATCGTATAGTAAACAAAATTTGTTACCGAGCTGATAACAAAAAGCTCGTATATTCATGTATTTATAGTCTGACGTGATGATACATTTAATTAGCTGGTTTATATACGAAACATGCACTAAATTAAAACGATAAACAAAATAATTCATGTATGTACTTTTTTCATTCATGCACGCATGCAGGGAGCCAACGTGGGATTTATTGCATTCAATGAATTAATGAAACTTAATTTATTTTGTGTTTTTGTAACAAAGTTGCTCTTGACCTTTGTTCGAACAAATTTCCAGTCAAAATTTGTTCAATTAGAATTTTGGATGATGATAAAACAAAGGGTACATTTTTCGTCCATTTTCTCAGCTACATCAGCTTATCACTGACTTTTTTCCTATAGGCAACCAACCCCGTTTCATAGCGCGTCGTTGGTTCTAGAATTTCCTAGATAATTCGCTCCCGTTCGTTGAGACTTTGCTGGGACTATTGCGTGCACACTTTCCTCAATTTGAATGATTTCTTATGTTTTATATGAAATGAAACACAGTTTGAACTCAAACTTAATTTTTTAAACGCAATTTAATGGATTTTTGGAGATTTATTTCGACAATCCACCTTTTTTTACTTCAAACTCCAAAGAAACTAGTGAAACATTGACCTAAACTATACTGATTGTCTATTTTTCAAACTACTTCTACCACTATTTTTTTTTAAAATTAGGTCCCAGTGTAGCTTACGACGCAAATTGGGTAGGAGGCATGGAAGTAATCCGTTTGGCTTACGAAGCAATTAAAACAGGACAGTGTGAATCCGTAATAGTAGGAACAGCAAACTTAGCCCTGAACGCTGAATTTCAATGGTTATACACCGATATGGGTTTACTATCGCCTGATGGCAGTACCAAAGCTTTCGATATCGACGGTAAGAATCAAACTAATCCAAAATTCAATGTTTTGCTCAGGATGTTGACTATTCAGGCTGCATAATATTACCTAATTCATCATCACCCTGGGAAAAAAACTTACCTACTAAATTCATGTTTTATGTTTTATTTGAATTGTTCTATGTATCAACAATCTGTCATACTTTAACTCTTCTTTGGATTCTGAAAGTTTCTCTGTTGAGTTCAATAAAGCCATTGAGAAAAAATTAAACTTCGAGAAGATTAAAAGGCAATTCATAATTTCTTCATTGACCCATTTCAATTTCTAGCCAAGGGTTACACAAGATCAGACGGCGTTGTTGTCCTCTACCTCCAAAAAGCTTCCGAAGCTAAAAGATCGTACGCCAGTATTGTTAACATAGCAACAATGTTCGATGGTGACCGAGAAGGAAACATCCAAAATCTACCAGTTTCCAGCATGGCCGAATTCATGACCAAGTTCTACGAAAAGTCCCCGGTGAAACCTGAAGACATCGCATTCCTAGAAACCTACGGGTGCGGTCACAAACTAACAGACGAAAGAGAACTGAACGCCATCGAAAAAGCCTATTGCAAAAATAGAAAAACACCTTTGCTAATTGGATCGGTGAAAACTAACACCGGACACAGCGAAGCTTCAGCTGTTATGTTTTCCGTAGCTAAAGTGTTGATAGCTATGGAACAAGGCGTTATTCCAGCTACGATTCAATACGAAAAACCTAATCCTAATGCTAAAGGACTTATCGATGGTAGCTTACAAGTAGTTACAAAAAATACACCGTGGAAACCCACATATGCGGCCATAAACGCTATCGGTCTTGACTCGTACTACGGCCATTTAGTACTTAAAGCCAACCAAAAAACCAAGCAAACCCAACACGATGACTTACCTAAATTGGTTGTTGCCTCAACCAGAACCGAGGAAGGAATTAAGGACATCTTAGAAAAAGTAAAAGCTAAAGTTGAGGATTCCGAATTCATACAGCTTACTCAGGATTTATTTGCTAAACCAATCCTAGGACATTTGTATCGTGGTTATACTTTGGTTGGAGCCGAAACACCCAAACAAGAAACAGAGGTTTGTATGAAGTTTTAATAGTGTAACATGTATTATTAAGTGGATTTCCAGTACCATCAAGGAACAAAACGTCCAATCTGGTTCGTGTTCGCCGGAATGGGCTCTCAATGGAACGGAATGGTGGGCGATTTAATGAAACTTCCTGTATTCGCTTCTGCAATCCAAAAATGCCACGACATATTGGCACCTAAGGGTGTAGACTTAATGCACATCATATCCACAAAGGACAAAACAATTTTCGATAATATTTTACATTCATTCGTTGGTATTGCTGCCATACAGGTAAATAACACTTTTACTATTTGTTACATTATTCCTCCAACATTAAATCTTCTAGATTGGTCTTACCGATGTCCTCAAAGCAGTTGGCATAGTCCCAGACGGTATCATAGGTCACTCAGTAGGAGAACTAGGATGTGCTTACGCAGACGGTTGCGTAACTGCCGAACAAATGATCTTATCCGCATATTCTCGAGGCAGGGCTTCTCTGGAAGCCACCCTTGAACCTGGAATGATGGCCGCTATCGGTGTAGGTTACAACGCCATCAAAAACAAACTTCCTCCGACAATTGAAGTGGCTTGCCACAACGGTCCAGACAGTGCCACCCTTTCCGGACCCAGCGCCGATATGGAAACTTTCGTAGCCGAGCTCCAGGCTCAAGGAATTTTCGCTAAGCTGGTCAATGTAGCTAATATTGCTTATCATAGTAGGTACATCAGGCCAGCTGCTCCGTTTTTGCTTAAGTATCTCAAAGAAGTCATTCCGGAGCCTGTTAAAAGGTCTGCTAAATGGATTTCTACGTCTAACTTGGAAGAGAACTGGAACACCGATGTGGCTCAGCATTCTTCGGCTGAATACCATACTAATAATTTGTTGAGTTCGGTGTACTTTGAAGAAGGTATCAAGCACATTCCTAAAGACGCTATTTGCATTGAAATAGCTCCACATGGGTTGCTACAGGCTATTTTGAAGAGATCTTTGAAGGCTGGGTGTATTAATATTCCACTTACTCAGAGAGGCTGCAGCAGTGGAATCGAATTCCTTTTGACCGCTTTGGGAAGGTAAGAATTATTTTTTTATTTAAATTTCATTTCACTGATTGTCAGAACGATCTCTGTGTGTGAGACTATGACTTTTTTATTTTCCCGTAGATTTTGTTTCGTATTTCCTTCTTAATTTCTTCTACTACGACCACTGTTTCTATTTTTTGGCTACGTCTATAGTTTCTATCTTACTGTAGATCTCTTTCTCACTCTGTGTTCAATTTCTCCTGTTCAGATTTTTCTTTTTTTGCTTCTAATTCCTTCCTCCATTTTTTCTTTACCTTATTTCAATCGAGCAGCAATACTTTGTAGGTATTCTTAAGTTCTCTACTCGATGTCTTCCATTTGAATTTTTCTCTGTGTCCAAGGATCATCTGCAAGATGTATTCGTTCATCAATATCTTTTCTAGAGCTGCCCCTATTCCCAGTGGCGGCGCCTTGATGCACTGGGCTAACAGTGGCGCACCCAAGGAGGAGGGTTTGGGGTCAAACCCTCCCCTCCCAACGAAATTTAGCACTGATACAAAGAATTTTCTGGCAAATTTTTTTTTCGTCCGATTCTGGTTAATACGTAGATAGAAACTTTCCATTTAAATCATCATGAATCCACCCCCCCCCCCTCTCCCTAATAAAAAAACCTGGGTGCGCCACTGATGAGTAATCGAAATTTTGATTATTATCGGCTCTTGAGTCTTGACTGCTCTTGCTCTTAAAACAATTCTCTAGAAAATCCAGAGTTGATAAAAGTTTAAATTTTGACTATTACCGGCTCTTGATTGGCTCCAGGAAATTTTTCCAGAGAATCAAGAGCCGGTTGTAGCGTGCCAAAATTGACTTACTATTTCATACTTATTTTCAGTTTTCCATTCAAAATTCCTTTAAATTTTTTTTTTTTTTATTCACCGAAAAGCGTGGCAAATTAATTGGCGCCCAACGTGGGGCCGCCGTTTTTTTTTTTAAAAGACTATTCTCAAATTTTTGTTTTTCTTTTTCTTCCTTACACCTACATATTAATAATTTTTATTCATTTTCTTTTTGCTGTTTTGAGTGCATAAGATCAAATTTCAATTTCCAAATGTGTTTCTCATACCACGCATTTTCGGTTTCTATCTTCTTCTGGGTTGTTTTAATACCATATCAATAAATCAAAAGCGCTCTTTCCAAGAAATACATTGCCTTGACAAGCTCTTCTGGCTTTTTTAAAAGTCAAAAAAATTCTCTTATGGGAACTTCCAGTCCTCAAGGATCTGAGAAGCAAAACTCAAGCCTAATAGTGAATTTAAAATTGCATTTCCACAATGTCTTTGTTTCTGAATGCTAGAAATTCCTCGAAAAGGCTCTTCTTGGCCTCTAATCCTTCCAAAGGCAACTTCCAGAGTCAGAATGAAGCAATGAATCAAGAAACTTTAGGAAGGCTTAGAAGCTCTACTAAATCTTTGAAATGCAATTGTGCTTTTTATCCGGGAGACGGAAATTGCCTTGAGAAGCTTTTTAACAAGTCATACATTGCCTTGACAAATTCTTCTGGCTTTTCAACATGTTAAATAAATTATCTCATGGCCTAAAAGTGAATTTAAAACTGCATTTTCACAATGTCTTTGTTTCTGGATGCTAGAAATTCGTGGCAAAGGCCTCTAATTTTTCAATGAATCAAGGAAGTCCAGCTGTAGCACTTAGAAGCTCTTTTAATCTTGAAATGCAATTTTGCTTTATATGTCTGGGAGTTGAAAATTGCAATAAATCAATATATATTTCGCTGTATCAAGAATAAAATCCCAAAAGCGCTCTTTAAAGTTTTGGTGTATTGCGCAAAAGGCGCTTTACGCTTAACGATTAGTGGCAGATTGCGCCCTTCTGAAACTTGCGTCTGTGGCAAATGCTACCTTCGCCACGCCCTAGTTACGGCACTGGTCAAAGACAAGATTTCCCAAATAGATTCTGGCTTGGGATACTGTAAGGTCGCCGAACATGAGATCATTCTTGAACCTGGTACCAGACCAATTAAACAAAGGTACTACCCCGTTTCCCCGTATAAACAAAAAATTATAATAGATGATCAAGCCCTGTGTGCTTAGTTAGGAAAAAGGATGGAAAATTTGGATTCTGCATTGATTTTCGTGAACTCAATCTTCAAACGAAAAAAGATGCCTATCCAATTTCCTACATATATCTTCTATTTTGGACAATTTACGTAGCACTCGATACATCAGCTCGTTTACATCAATTAGGAGGGTGCCTTTTGGTTTATTTAACGCCCCTGACACTATTTTAGGCCCTGAACTCGTGCCAAATTTCATCGTATATCTGGATGATATCGTGATCCTGTCCAACTCCTTTTCGGATCATCTTAAACTCTTAGGGATTGTCTTTGATAGAGTACGCGAGGCTGGTCTCGTCGTCTCCATTGAAAAATGTAATTTCTGCAAACAAGAACTAAACTCTGTCTAACCAAAGTTGAACGTTGAAGGTCACTTAGTCGAATATAACACAGACGTTGTTTTTTGCTGCTGTCTTTATTGCACGCGCACTGTGTTTATCAAACCAAAATAGGTCCAAACGTGTGAATCCTATGGTTACAAGGATGAGTAAGTTCAATGTTCAACTTTGGTTAGACAGAGTTTAAGCTTCATTGACTGACTGAGAAGGTAAGCGGTCCCTCGTTCTGGAAGGACACCTAACTACTTTTATTCTTATTTGCCTTTCATTAGTCGTTCATTGATAGTCATTTTGCTTCTATTTAAATTCAAAATATAAATATATTTAACTGTCTTTATATTATCGTATTTCTCGAGCTTGCTTATATCCTATTCAGAATCCGATGTTCACAGGTACAGGTAAATTTATCACATTTCCCTATCAAATAGAATTGAAAGGTGATAAATTTAACCTGTACCTGTGGATATCGGATTGTGAACGATAATAGATTATCATCGGAAAAGTTTCTTTCAAACTTTCCCTCCTATCGTAGGGAGGGTTGTAACGTGCCAAAATTGACTAACTATTTCATACTTATTTTCAGTTTTCCATTCAAAATTCCTTTAAATTTTATTTTTATTTTTTTTTATTCACCGAAAAGCGCGGCAAATTAATTGGCGCCCAGCGTGGGGCCGCCGTTTTTTATAAAAGACTATTTTTTAATTTTTGTTGTTTAGCAAAACCAGAGTTGACAAAAGTTCAAATTTAGATTATTACCGACTCTTGATTGGCTCCAGGAAATTTTTCCAGAGAATCAAGAGCCGGTGATAGTTCATATTTGATCATTTTGATTATTATTGGCTCTTGAGCTTTGAATGCCCTTGGAAAAATTCTCTAGCAAATCCAGAGTTGTTAAAAGTTCAAATTCTGACTATAACCGGCTCTTGATTGACTCTAGGAAAGTTTTTCAGAGAATCAAGAGCCGGTAACAGTTCAAATTTTGATTAGCTGAGGCTCTTGAAAAATTTAAATTCATGTAAACTTAAGAGCTGCTAATGATCATTCGAAATTTTGATAATTATCGGCTGTTGAGCTTTGAATACCCTTAGAAAAATTATCTAGCAAAACCAGAGTTGACAAAAGTTCAAATTTAGATTTTTACCAGCTCTTGATTGGCTACAGGAAGGTTTTCCAAAGAATCAAGAGCCGGTAATAGTTCGAATTTTGATTATCTGTGGCTCTTGATCCATTGGATATTTTTTCTATATCCATATTGGATGCTGTTCTATGTCTGATAGACAAAATGGAAAGATCATGCAGTCTTCTTAAGTATTTTTTTCAATATTTTTAATTTACCAAATAACCTTTCAGCGGTGGCAACTAAAAGGAATGTACCGGGCTCATGCATATCGCCGCCACTGTGGTCATAGATCATGTACAAGATGTCTTCTTTCATCAACATTTTTTCTAGAGCTGCTCCTGTACCTAAATCTGATTTTCTCTATTTTGTTTATTCTTTCAAAAGAACATAAATAATTAAAGGAAAAATCTGAAAACCTTGTAGAACTAGGAAAGAATCTTCCTGCATTGAAAGTACAAAATAAAACTGAACTTCTTGGCAAAGACTTAATGATGTTGATTTTTTCCTGTAAGTTCTTTTCTATGAAATAGATTTGTTCCTGAAAGAAACCCAATATGTATATTACGCCCTTACTATAAGTACTCAATTTCATAACTTTGCTCTATTTTGACATAATTAATGCTCACATGATCTCCATTTCTTCTCTCACCAGAATTAAAATATTATATTATTCCCCAGAATGTACTTAGCTGGCATGGATATTTCAATTGCCCACATCTACCCCCGTCTTGAGTACCCTGTCGGTAGAGGTACTCCATCTACAGCGCCTCTAGCTCACTGGAACCACAGTGAATCATGGAGAACTGGCTTGGAAGACAAACTTCACTCTCTCTTCAGTATTATTGATATGCAAGTGACGCTCAATAGTGAAGAGTTTAGAGAGTGCGTCGGACATCAGCTAGATGATAACATTATTTTGCCTAGCAGCTTTTATTTGGTACATATTTGAATTTGACGTACTTTTAAAGTAAAATTATTTGGGAATTTTTTTAGAACATTGCTTATCAATTGATTTCAAACATAAGCAGCGGCCACAAGGAAATCCTATTTGAAAACTTGCACTTTAGGAAATCCATTACTATTCCTAAAATTGGTAAGTACCATAACTAGTTTAACAAACTTTCTATTAATAATTGTCATTATTAGGTTCGGTTCCTTTGCATGCCATGGTGCAAAAAGGTTCAGGAGAATTCGAAATCACTTCAAACAAAGAAATAATCATGACAGGAAAAATGACCTTCCCCCAAGCCAACGAACCATTTATGGTAGAACCAAGCAAAATTGAAATAGGCGAAGATAACATTCAATTAACTGGAAGTGACGTTTACAGTGAACTACAACACAGAGGCCACAAATACTCTGGATTATTCAAAACGATCAAAAGCTTAGTTATAACTGAAGAAGGCTCTTCTGCTAGCATTCAATGGAACAACAAATGGACTATGTTTTTGGAAGCCATGATTCAGCAACAGCTTTTACACGCCGGCGAGCGCGATCAGGAAATCCACGTGCCGAAAACCATTCAAAAACTTTGCGTCGACCAAAAATTATTGCCAAGTGAAAAGACCGACTTGAAAGTTGATTACGATTTTGCTACGAAAATTATTTCGACTGAAGGATTACAAATTATTGGAATGCAAACGATACCGTTGGAAACTGAAAAGAAAAAAGTCTATATCGATTCTATTGAGTATGTGCCTTTGAACAACACTGAATATACGGTAAGATTGCCAAATTAATTTATTTATGTTTCATATATGCCAATTTTGCAGAAAATCGAAACCGGAATTTGCGTAGCACTGCAGCTTATGCTGGCAAACTTTGCCGACCAATATATCACGAATGTTATGATTACGGAAATTACCAGCAAAGAACCACTACTGAAATATATCAATTTGGCACTGGCTCAATATACAAGATTAAATGTGAGTATACTAAATCTCAGGATATTGAAAATTTTAATGTCGATTAGCTTCATTTATGCATTATTCTGTGTTATTCTTCTTAGCCCAACATTGTGACAGCCAAAGATGCTAAACAAGTAGTAGTCCAAACTGCCTATCCTCTTCTAATCATCCACAACGGTTCAATTAATGACGAAATAGCCAAAGTAGTATCTTCGTCACATGCCTTCTCTTTAGTAAAAACTGACAAAAATATTCTATCTTATCCGAGCATTATTACAGTGGCCAGTTTCACTTACCAAGGCCAAGAATATTCAATTTTGAGAAAGGTAAGTCTTTGTCAACCAGTCAAACAATAAACTGATTCGTGATTCCTTCAAGGCCAATACTAGTGACGTTATTGCGGTTAATGTTAAAGGAGACGTCCTCAGCATTAAAGACCTAAAACGTTCCTCAGTTTCATGGGTATCCGAGTTACTTTCCGCAATAGAAAATGCCTCGTTATCCCACAAAAGAGTGTACTTGACTTCATCAGTAGTACCGCTTGAAGGCTTCGCCAACTTTGTGCAAGAGCTCAAATCACAACCAAACATGGACAATTTAAGAATCTTGATCAATCTAGACAAAAAAGTCGATGTTGATTTCAAGAACCTCTACAAACAAGATTTAGTGCTGTCAATTTTGAAAGACGGAGTCGTGAATGGGTATCTACCAATCCCAGTTAAGTTCAAGGAAAATGTCCTCCTCAATGCCAGTTCTGGCAGCTTAGCTAAAAACAAAACCATCAGCTATATCGGTTTGAATCTAAGAGACGAAACAATTAATCCTGCAACTGAAAAAACCCAGGAACTAGGCCCTATTGACTATTCTGGCACTGTTAGCACCGGCCAGAAAATCATGGGTCTAGCTTCATTGAACAAAGACACTTGCAGATTGGAAATAGACCCAATATTAAATTGGGAATTTCCTGACAGCTGGAGCTTGGAAGACGCAGCTACAATTCCTTACGCTTTTGCAGCCGCTTACCATTCCCTGTACATTAAAGGTGAACTAAAACCAGGCGATACTGTTCTAATACACGCTGGATGTTCTCCTATTGGTATGGCAGCTATTTCTATAGCGCTTTCTAATGGGTGCAATATTTTCACTACAGTGTCTACTGATAAGCAAAGGGCTTATATTAAGAAGAAGTTTAGAATGGTGAGAGGATACATGTGAATATTTGGTTTGGTTTTATTTCATTTTTCTTTTAGTTCAATGATGGGCAAATTTTGAGTTCTGATAATGCTAGTTTTGAGCCAATGGTGATGATGGGTACTGGTGGTAAGGGTGCCAATGTAATCTTGAATTGTCTTTCGGGAAGTCTTCTTCAGTCTTCTTTGGCTTGTATTGCTGATTTTGGTAGATTCTTGCAAATTGGTACGGAGTTGTTTGGCTAACAGTTAGTATTCCATACAAAAATATTCCTCTTTTTTTTTTTTAAGGTAAATACGATTTAGAAGAAAACAATAGCGTCGGTATGTATTGTTTCCTTAGAAATGTTTCCTTCTACGCAGTTGATTTGAACATCATCAATCAGTCAGATGAAGTGAAAATGGAAATCAAGCAACTTGTTCAAGATGGTATCGGTAAACGTACCGTGACTCCATTGTGGAGGGTTGTTTATAATCACCAAGATGTTGGAGAGATTTTGAAGTGAGAATGGACAAACTATTTTTTGTACTTATATTAATAAATTATTTTTAGCAACATTAAGAAAGCAAGCAACATTGGTAAAGCAGTCTTGAATGTTGATAATAATATTTCTTTGAACAAGTTGAACGTTAGAAGGCCTAATCAGTTTATTTGCGATCCTAAGAGCTCGTATTTGATTTATGGTAAGTAGTTTTTGTGTCCATTCCATGTCGAAAATTAGTTGAAAGCAATTATCTTTATGAGGATAAAAATTGAAATATGCAACTATACTGAACTTGAAGTATGGGAGAAAGATGATTGGTTCAACCAATAATAGAGTACAGTTTATTTTTTCCCAAGATAGATTTTGACATTGAAAACTTGGAAACATAAACAATAACGCTTGACCCTGATTGGTCGCAAAATGAGGTGTTCCTGCAGGTTGACATCAGTTTTATAATGGCGGCCAATAAGCGGCATTAGCGGCATTGTTTATGTTTCAAAGTTGACAATGCCAAAATCTATCTTGGGAAAAAATAAACTGTAGTTTTATTATATCGTGAGAAGCTATCAGCTGTCTTATAAATACTTTAGCATCGTTCTAGTTTCTAATTTTGGAACAACATTAATAAATATGTGATTTTGCAATATACTTTGCTAGAAAACTTTTTATTCTCAAAATGAAACTGACAATACAATGACAATATAAAAACTCTCCTTTTATCGGTCATATTGTAAAGCTAGAAGGTACAAAAATACCTGATGCTGAATATATAACCTCGTAAATCCTCGTTATAAATTTATTTTCTGAACTGGCTTGAAGATCTTTTAAAAGTCATGGTGTTTTCTAAAACAGATATATTCGGATCTTGTGTATCCCCTTCCTCAGTAACACTATCCTTTTTTTTATTGTTAGATTTTTCTTGTATAGTATTGCTAGTATTTCGAATGTCTTCACCAGATTCTTCCTGTAGAGTAGTACTAGTATTTTGTATGTCCCCATCAGTCATTTCTTTCTTGTATGGTCGAGTGTATATTAGTATCGGTATTTTGGATGTCTTCATCTATATCCTCTTCCAAAACAACTGCAGGAATATGATCACTAACCGTGTTTTTGGGTACCTGTGTAATTGCAAGACGATTAACGTGTCTACGCCAAATACGGCCATCATCCAGTTTTATCAAATAATGTAATAGCCCCTTTCTATCTGCAATATGGCCATATTCCTATTTCCATATTCCTAACTCTAACCCTGTCGTCTCCTTCAAGTTTCCTAAAATTTTCTCCTTCAAGCATGGATTTTAAATTTTCTTTCTCATAATTCATTAATTTTACGCAACATTTTCAGTTGAATAAGGACTTTTTCTATATCGCATTAAAAAATTCTCCAATTTGTGGTCTAAATCTCACGGTTCTCCAAATTACCGTTTTTAAAGCCTTCTTAAAAGTTTGAACGTACCTTTCGGCTTGTACATTGGTAGATGGATGAACCTATGTTTGATTCTGTGAGACCCCAATTCAGAAACTTATATGATGTTGAATTGGCGAGCAGCGGCTTTTGTTTCTGAGTGGAGACACAGATTGATATGGGTCCTATTTGCGGGTGTGAGAGTAAAACACAACTGTGGACTATTATTTTAATATAATTTTATTTAAATAAATTTATCGGGCGTCGGCCAGAAAGGCTTGAAATATAATAACCAAAATTTTTACTCTGTCTTATTTAAAATTTCACTCCTTTCTCACAAATACCTTAATTCTATTATAAAAATTCCGATAGGTAAGTTTCTTACCAAAAGTTTGGCTTATCAAAAATAATGTTAAATTAGAAAGTTCAAATTTTTTTTCAATTATCAATCACGAAAATCCCAATTCAAAATGTTATAAATAATTATAAATAACGAAATATTTTTCAATAACAAAAGTTCTTTTACAAAATTTAGCTTCAAATTTTCTTATTTTACCAACTATTAATCATAAAATATCATCTTAAAAATGTTTTAATTCCCTTTTGGATAATTATTTAACTTTCGTTAATTTATCAATTCATTAACTTTTTGTCCTATTTTATAAAGAGTACAAATTTCCATTTTTACAGTGTAAATGTACTTACAAGATGTATTTATTACTTTAAAATTCTACTGGCACACACGTAATTACTAAAACGTTATTTTTACGACTTGACTTTATGAACCCGAAATTTTCGCACTGCCTTCTTAAAAACTTTTCGTACTATCTTCGACTTTGGACTCTGCTTGCTGCGTCTGACACTTGACTGACCGTTCTGGACTGACTGTTCTCGACTGACACTTTTGACCGTTCTTGACTGATACTTCTTTTGAACCGACACTGCTATTTTTATCGCAATTCAGGCTTTTTATATAAAAATTGTCTCCTTCCTTCCTTTGTTGTTTCGGCCTAATTTCTCCCGCAATTTTATGAGTGCTTTGACATCAAGATTTCGTCATCTCGCCTCTTTTTTTAGTGGAATGCGGTACCGTTTCTTTGTCGGCATACAGCACGCGCCTGATTTATGGTGCTTTCCCGGAATTTGGGTTCAGTGACAGATGGCGTCATGTTAGTAAAGTGCCGCGTTTCAGGGACACATTCCAATTGAATCATCTATTTTTGAGTGGCCCCATTGCACTTATCGGATTTTTGAGAAGGGATTTCAGTTTCTGTATTTCTTTATTCGATGTCGTCAGATCATTTTGACTAGAAGTTCCGGCTGTAACTGGTTTAGTGTTGTTGTCTCCTGGAGTGTTTAATTTTCGGTAAATTGTAGGTGATTTTGATTTCATTTTTCCAGTTTGATTTATGTTTTTTTTGTTGTTTGTTTCATTTTTCAACAAAATAACCAGATCTATTAACAATTATTTTATTCTTGGCGGTTTTTCTTGGTAGTTTATTTCTGCGTCACTACACCACTAAGAAATATCTAATTATTCAATACTTATACTTTGCAGGACAACTATTTATTCTCAACAATTATGATAAACTGACAATACAAATCTCTCCTTTTACCAGTCATATTGTAAAGGTAAAAGTATAACACACATTAAATATGAATTTCTTTTCAAAGGTGGTAGCTCCGAAAACTGGACCGACGTAACCGAATGGCTCGTCCTAAGAGGTGCCAAAAAAGTCGTAGTCTCCGTAGACACGAAATCTCAACAAAACCACATCAACAGGCGTTTGGCGCTGCTTCAATCCTACTACAGCTGCGATATAATTTTCGCTCCGAACAAGGCCCACACAAAAGAAGGAGCCGCCGAACTACTCTCAGAAGTTTATTGCTTGGGCCCCATCCACGCCGTTTTCTTATTACCGCAAGTGAAAACCAGTAAAATCAGCGATATCAAACCAGTTCAATATATCGATAACGCCTTGAGAACTACCGCTCCTAAAGCTCTGTTTGTTAACTTTATTAATTCAGCCGCTGGTATTTGTCAAGTTAGAGCTGACGCTGGTTATACTACTTATAATATTCAATGGTTGAAGGAGTTGGAGTTTGGAGATGTCTTGTCCGGGTTGGACAACGTTTTGTCGCTTAAAGTGAAGAATGTGTTGATTAATAACGATAAAGTTAGCGACACTAAACAAGAGAGTACACAGGCTTTATTCAAAAGTAAGTAAAATCAATTGAATATTTTAGGATTAAGAAGTCAAAACTCACAATTTTCCATAATAGTACAAGCAACTTTAAGCTATCCTCTAGAATGATTTGAAACAGCTAACGCCTGCCTGAATTCAAATAGCATAATAATATGTTAACTTCCATATTTCCGGGAAAATCCAAATGAATATTAAATATTTGAACTTTTTTCATACGAAATTGCCAATTGCTGTCTAGAAGCTCAACATTATTTTTTGAATTACACTCCACTGAAGCTTAAGCAATTACCTATTTCTCCATATTCTCGCAAACTCTCCCCATTAGGTTTTCCTAATTATAACTTTATTCCAACGTTAGGATAATTTATTAGGAAGACAAAGACAAGAGAAAATAGCCTGAGGGTGGCAAAAACATAACAAAATGTAACTGGAACAGAAATAAGGCAAGTTTTTTTTGAGCCGGATGTCGTTTTCTTTTTATCCGGGGCTTTGTTGTTTCAGTTTCACGGAAAAATCGTTTAAAATAAGAAACCTGGAAGCTCTACGAAAGTCTGCAGAAAGCATCTAGTTGCTTTAACGAGAATAGTTTTAACAGAAAGTAACCCATATAACAGTGGGTCATTTGCTGCACAGAATTGTGAAATCAATTTCGGTGTCATTTTATTTCTAGTGGAAGTTTTGCGTGAAACAAAATTGCAACAACAGTGGTTTACTTTGGGATATTTCCTATGTTTGCACAACATTTTAACTGATTAACAAATAATTATTCTATTTTCTAGAACTCTCTCAAATGTTGCCGAGCTCACCAGAAGAACTGAGCGAACAAATCAAAGAAGCACCCAAAGAACCCGAACTAGTGCAATTGGTAACTGAAGGACCCAGAGAAATACGCGAACTGATTCCGTTGTTCATCATTCCTGGCTTGAACACCGAAAATGAAATTGAAGAACTAGCCAGACATCTTTTGTTGCCCACTTTCTGTGCAGTCTTGCCCAACAAGCCGATGGGATTGAAGGAATTGGCTCAGAAGTTTGTTGCGGTAAGAATTTCAGCCTAGACAATAAAACAACGATAATATTTATGTATTTTTTTATAGCAAATCAGACCTATTTGGTCTCAAGGCCCCTACAATATCGTTGGAGTTTCGTGGGGAGGCGTCCTGGCTACGGAAATTGGAAAAATCCTTAACAAAGAATTCAACTCGAAAATTTATTTGTACTTCATCGATGGCGCCCCATCCACTCTACAATCGGCCATCAAACATTTAGGTCAAGACGCCGAAATGGAAACTAACTTGCTGGCGAGGATCTTCAATAATAATGACGCACAGGTAATGTTTATTACGATGATAGTGATTTATTTCATCAAAAAATTCTATGATCAAGTCGAAATACATGAAAACCGATACCAAAAACAGCATTAAATGTTGAAAACGGAAAATACGAATTTAACAGTATGCCTTTTGGACTTAAGAACGCACCAGCCACATTCTAAAGAGTACCTAATGGATAATGCACGTCCTACTGCCGGAATTTTTTCTACTTTTCTGCAGTGGTAGCTGGCATTATCCATTACTACCGAGAAATAAATTATACCTATCATCTGCATTTTGAGATATTCATGTATATCCTCTGATAAAAAACCAGAATATATTTTTCAAAAGACACAACTAACAAGGATTTTTACGACTGGAACGATTCTTGTATAAGTTTAAAATCAACATTATTTCGTGTAAAAAATTCTTATAAATTATCCGATGTTCTCTCTAATTTATTAAAGGTCTTGAAAAAACTTCAAGCAGCCTCTGATTGGGATGCCAGAGTAAATTACATATTGACTTCGTATAGCGGAACGCCGGAGGATAAAAGGGCTCTCGAGAGCGGTTTATTAGTACTCCGAAATAGGCTTCAGGATATTACTGCATATCAGCCTGACGGGAACCTGGTTACGGGTGTTAGCCATTTGATAAGACCCAGCGATTGTAGTCAGTATGATAATTGCGAACTGACTTTGGTAAGGAATTATCTATATGATGTTGTTTTCAAGTATTAATGGAATTTTGTTTGTAGTATTTGAAGCAGACGCCACAAATTCACTTGGTATCTGGAGACCATGTTACTATAATCAAAAACAAAGATACTGCAGAGTATATTAATGAAACATTCCAACTGATTTAATTTACTAAAAACAAAAAATTCAAATATATTATTGCAAGTTTAAATTGATATTTTATTGACTTTAAACAAAATCGTATCCTGTAATCAAGGTATATAACACCTAATAATTTTTAAATTAAATCTCACAAACCGAATCTATAAATCTCGATGCGCAAAATGATTTGTCGGTGGTTGGTGCAAAATTTGTTGATGATATAAAATTCAGTCACGTAGATGATTATTACCGAATCATATTCGGAAATATTGACGGAATTGGCTAAAAAAGCATTGAGGAAATAGATTAAAAAATAAGATGGATGCATTGAATTAAAATAATTATGTAATTTAAAAATAAAATGTGTGGGGGCTTCTGGAGAGAACAACAATCTTATGAATAATTAAAAGGTTTATCATTAAACATTTTTGCTCATTAGAGTTACAATTATGTATTTAATTTTTATATCAGGTTTATAATGAGTATATTGTATGTCAAAAGACTCTGCACAAACCTTATGGAAAATGGCTTTCTGTCAAATTAGCTGAATTTTTGAAAATGGGTAGATATCGATATTCTGATCAAAAGTTATCATTGCGCAAAAATGATTCCATCTACAGTTTTTGAGTAAATGGGCTTAAAAGGAAATGGAAACGTATGTAGCTTATAATAGATGGGTGCTCAACGCTACCAATCGATACTGAAATAGCCAAACTGTGGGAACAAAAAAAAAAGTGTTTCGGCTGAAATATGAACCACTGATCATATAGACTTCAACATCGCTATTCCATGCTACGCAGTAATGTCCTGTTTTTTTCTCAGAAAATAAACAAATCTAAAGCCGGAAAAATCATCCTTCAACAACAAAAAATACTTTGCATCTCCCAACGAAGACACTTCCATTGGACCCTCCAAATAACCATGTATAAGCTCGCCAACACTATTAGCTCTCGACTTACTATGTGGCAATGTCAGCCTATGCTGTTTTCCTGCTAAACAATCTTGACAGAATGAATTATCTAAATCTTTATACTTTATTTCACTTCCTTTTAACAAATTTCTGACTTGATTAAAATGTATGTGTGCTTGTTTTCGATGCCAATCCGTTAAACTTTCTACTTGATTGCATTGTGACAAGATACCTTGTGTATATTTGAAGTTCATTTTGTATAGCCTCCCTTGCAACAGCTCTTATTTTTCTATTTTCATCCAAAAATTCACATTGATTATTGATTTTTGTCTGAATACATTACAAGGCCTCTATCGAAAACAGCAAAGGTTGATGATCGATATGACGTCGATTTTAAATAGATTTACTTACGTCGACAACGTCGAGAAACCAAAATTCGACGTCGAAAAGAGGTTGCAAACTATGACTTGCTTGGAACCTCATGTAGTGGAAGTTTTTTTGATCATGACATGATCCAACATTAGGTTCAAAAGTTATCATGTAAAATCCAATATGACCCATTCAAAAATAACATTGTATTGATGCGTCTATAAAGCATCCATTTAACGTCGTTTACATGTCGAATTACACGTATATTTGATCGTGGATTAGGTATACGTCGCTAGTCAACGTCACTTCTACCATGGCATTGTGAAACTCAAGCAACGTATATTGGAACGTAGATTAAACACTCCGACGTCACTAAATGACGTAGAATTAACATAGAATTGACGTAAGTTTGCTGCTTGGGAGTACTCAATGAAAACAGGTTAACATCTAATTCATGTAAGCGCAAAACTTCAAGTAAGTTTGTATCAATCCATTTTTTTCCATTAAAAACTTGCAAGTTCACTATTCCTATTCCTCATACATTCAACAAAATTCCATTTTCAACTTTTACTTTTTTTTCGGCTCTGTAGATTTTCGAATTTCTACAAACTTTTATTTGCTATAACACATGTTCTGTGGCACCGCTGTCTAGACACCAATCATCATTCCTTCTAGTTTCTCTAGTTTTTTCTAGGATAATTGTGTAATTTAACAAACTAGACATTCCCACTGATGCCTGTGTCGAATGGGCTTTTGGGTTTCTTCCATCTTTTCTTTGATTACCTTGTTCTTCGTTTATTCTATATTTGTCTTGACATTTTTAACCATCTTTGTTGAATCAGCAATCTTTCACTAAGTGACCATCCTTTTTACAACAATGAAAAACTCTTTTCTCTTTAAGTGGACAGTCCTTCTTACAATGTCTCGTTTTGTTGCATTGAAAACATCTTACTTTCTTCACTCAATCTCCCTATGAGTAGATTTGTCTTTGCTTTCTTCTAATACCAATGTTGCGCCTAGATTTTCTGGTTTATTTCTTTCTTCCTTTAGTAAAAGCCTGGACATAAGCTCCGACAACGTTTGTTTATCTTCAGGTGTTGAGTCCCAAGCAGAAATGAAATGCTTCAAATTCTCTGGTAGTCATGAGAATTTTTCTAATTGCCATTTTGTCACTTATTTCCTCATTTTGCTTCTCCAACTTTCACTGTATTTCTTCTATGTGAAACTACTGCAGCTATGCCTCTAACTCCACCTGTAATTTATTTTCATAAATTATAACAATTTTTTTCCACATTCCTGCAAATGTATCACATGCCAACACATAATTAAATAGTTTTTCTTCTAGCCTACTAACAATCACTTCTTGAGCCTTTGCATCATTCATTAACCAATCAGTCACTCTTTTCTCTGTAGTTTCTCCAAAAGGCTTCAATGTCACCCTTTTCTCTGCAGTTTCTCCAAAAGGCTTCAATATGTCACCTTTTACTAGGCTATAAAGGTTTTTAGACTTTATGTGTATCATTGAAATTTCCAAATAGTCCAATTCTCTCCATTCAGTTTCACGACCAGAGTGTGTATGTCTGACATTTTTCTTGTTGCCTTTTTACTTTTCATTGATACAACCTGACTACTTGACAAATTTTCTCTAGGCTGGGTTATGTTATTATCTATTTTTTCACTTCCGAAATCCGTTTACTCCCCTCTTTATCGACCAGGCATGTCTGGGCCCATAACCTCTGTTATATTTAAGGATTTCCGGGCTATTAATAAGGTACATAAACGAAGAACTTTTAAAAACAAGAACGAGATAGTATAAAAGGATCAACAAAGACATTCGAAATGAGATTCGTAAAGCCAAGGAACAATGGTTACAAGAATTGTGCACAGAACTAGAAGAATGGGAGTTCTCATGTGAAATAAATATGGCTTATTTTGTTTTTATGGTGCACATTTTTCTGTAAAATATTAAATGATGAGCAGTTTTGTATTAAATTTATGGATATTAAAGTCATACGGCAATTATTAGTTTTAAATTGAAAAGTTTCGCGCGGAAAAGTTACGTTCAACATGGCCGCTTCCAGTGACATCAACTGTTCGTAAACTAAGGTTAAGGGTAGTTTACACTGATCGTAAATCCACGGTCCACATTTTCGTGGTTCACTCTTGAGTCGTGGAACGATTGGTCCACGATCAGCTCACGTCACGCCACGACTGATAAGTATTGAACCACCATAAACGAGTATATAGAAGGAAGATTGTCAGACTGCGCTTTTCTAAATCCTGTATCAACCATGATGAACTATTTGAAACACAAAAAGTCACAATATGGCACTTTAAATACGGAAACATCACATAATAACCGCTTTCAATGCAGTCGAAGGTTCAAGCAACTCACTCAGGTATGCACCGTGAGCTAATTCCGAGGATTAGTTATGAAAACCTGGATTAGATAAGGTTTTCTAATGCACTGCAAGAAAAATTCGGTTTAAGCTTCAAATTATCTAATCGGTCAACGATGCGTGGATTAGCGGAACGATGTCTAACCTAAAAGTATTTTTGTCACCGATTTTGAAGTTTCTTTTACAATTAGACAATTTAATCCATCTGTCAAAATGGCAAATTCAATATGGCGTGGCGGCCAAGCAAGTTTGTTTTGAATATGTTTTTATGCGTATTTTAAATTATTTTGCTTGGAGCTTTGCTTGCAACTTTGATTTTGATTATTTAATAAAATATTTGTTGACTAGGTATTGTTCGTCGATTTTTAACTGATACTTGCGGTATGAGGAGCGAGGGGCTGTTTTATATGGCAAAAACAGGTGTGAAGTTAGATAACCATTGGCGTTCTAATGTAGGGAGCCACCAGCTCACATTCCGTCCGAGTATCAGATTAAAATCGACGGACAATAGGTACCTAAATTATTAAATCGGGCAGAAACTAGATATTTTTTTTATGTTGTTTGGCCCATGTGTGGCCTCCACGCTATCTTGAATGTCACGTGGTTTAAATTGCCTAATTCTTTGATTATTCTGGTGTAAAATGGGTCAAATGGATTTGGAGGACGGAATATTTATAGATGATAATCTAGATATCCTCCATATCATAAACTTTGGGTTTTCTCGCAGAGTCCACAATCTACGAAAGAAGTTATTATTTCGACAATATGGACAATAATTATCACTCGTTTTTTCGGAGATTTCGACTCACGAAACCTACAGATCCCAACTTCCTGGAGAACAGAAAAAATAAACTTCCAAAATTATTTGTTACTTGTCTGTCTTTCTGTTAATAAGTTGGCTAACTAGAGACCCAACCTCATGTAATAAAAAAAAAATACAGTGGGAATCATTGCAATTGGCATACACTCTTTAAAATTCCTCGTATTAAGTCAAAATTCTAACCAATAAATCTATTTAGTGCAGCATTTTGCTATAACTGTGTGTCAGATTTGACACATTACGAGGGATATTTATATAGTGTGTGCCAATTGCAATGATTCTCACTGTACCTTCTTTAAATCCAACTTATTCTACGGGTAATGCCCCGCTACATAAGCACTTTTTTGGCGATATGAGGTGTAGTGGTATAACAGCTACGCTACAGATAATAGGGAATTATTGAAATACGGCCGCAGTTGACTGTGCCGCTTTAGTGCCGACCCAAAATTGACTGTGGCGGGCGCTATTTTGGCTCACAAAAGGAATTATTGAATGACACATTGAAGTCGGCAGTAGTGAACTTTGGCAGTGGCATGTCATATTTTATTTTCATATT